TACCTCACCCAGAATTCCCACAAGCATGTTTTGCAAACAGAAGTCAGCTTGTATCTGTCATGTCATTTAGTGGCTACTGCCCATAACAGACAGACTTCAGCAAATATGTCTAGTTTGTTCTATCATTTCCCAAACTGCTAACAGTCTGGGTTCGAATTTAACTTGACGCCCCAGAGTCCATCCTCTTCTGCACTGTTTCGTGCAATATTGTACTGTGAGCCCAGGCCATCATGGTACTGCAACTGGGGGGGCTGAGGTGTCCATGACAGGAAGAGGTCCAGTGACCTAAGGTGAGTAATACAGCATTTTTTAACCCCCGATAGGCTGTTTATTTTTTTGTTTAGATCTGAAGTTCTGCTTTAGGGGCCTTAAAGCCTGCTACTTGCGAAATGAGGAAAAAATTTGCGACTGTCAGGTTTTTCCTACCATCTGTGTTCCTATAGGGGAGATTTCCATGGAGGTATCCATGGAGGAACAACGTAGCCACCCTTGTGCAGCAGTATTGTCAACGTGTGGTGAGGGTTGTGTTAGATGGACTAGTAGATGTAGATGAACTTTACATAAGTGACTAACAAATTATAGCCTAACTTCAGCTAACACTACATGATTTGTTTCCTTTTTGGGATAAAGGTTTTAACCTTTTAAGCACCCCTGTCAGTGTTTAATGGTGTGCCTTAACCCTCTATCTGCCGCTTTTGCTGAACATTTTGTTCTGTTAAAGGAAGTTGAAAAAAAAGAAAGTTACTGGTAGATTGAACAAGTAATACAACTACAGAGGGGATTCAGAAAAACAAAAAATACTCTGTTAATGCCTAATGTAACTGACAGACCACATCATATATGTCATTTTTGACTTTACCCATAGCTCCTCTTTAAGGATTGATTTCAAATCAGGGGTATGGCTCTATAAAGTTCGTTAACCTTTTGTTTTCACATAAAAAGTCTCGTACTAAAAACAGTATACCGCTTTCTAGTAGCGTGCCTGTGTACTGCAACTAAGTTGCAAGTGTACATTGAGAAGAACCTGAATAAATTAATCATATTAACCATATAGATATAGCCAATGCTGAGTAAGTAACAATCATTTTTTACACCCCCTCCCCAACCCTTTTGTAAGTGACGAAATTCCGGCACCAAAAGTTACAGTCCAGGCTCTAGCATAGAGAAGTTGTATTTGTAATTTTTCACAGAATACAATGGGGGGAATTTATCAAAACTGGAGCAGACAGAATCTGGAGCAGTTGCCCACCGCAACCAATCAGCATCTCTCTTCAGTTTGTTCAGGTAAGATTTGAAAATGAGACAAAGAAGCTGATTGGCCGCAGTGATAATCTGCTCCAGTTTGGATAAATTCCCTTCAATGTGTTCTGTAAATGGATAATGGATAAGGGAGATCCAGAGAGAGTAATCTATGTAGACTCCCTTGTCCATTTACAGGAACACCGTTTGTGTAAAAAAATACAAGACATTTTGTGAATAGCCAAAGTGCAGTGAGCCACCCACTATCTTTGCTTCGTTAAAGCCGGGACTGTAACTTTTGCAGCGGAAGTTCTGCACTTGCAGAAGGGTCAGGGTGCATAATGAATGCAGCACCCATTATTAGTAGTAGGATAGTAGTAAATTGCCCATTTTTTCCTGGAGATTGGCTTCAGTTGTATATTTATAGCTGTCTGTAGCTGTGGAGTTTCACTCTCTGAGTAAATCTGTTTTATCACCACATCTGTTTCCAGAGTACCTGTGGAAGGGTTTAAATATTCATAAATATATCATTCTTTGTTCGTATTTAGTCAGCATTTAACTCTCGGCATGAAATGACACCAGACATGATCAAAATACAGTTTTATTTTGTAACAATATAGTAACAATCCTAGTGCAGTTCTATTATACTTTGCAGATTCGAGTTCAATGCATTTAAAATGACACAAAAGATGTACAAATAATAAGCATTACAATCAAATGATATTCTGTGATTTGGGTCCACTGTTTTGGAAAGCGGAGATCTAGCAGACAAAATTCTGTAGCAATATTGGAAAAACGAGTTTTGCCTCAGAGCTGTATGTGGGGACATTTTCTATATAGTCCAGCCAGAGTCAAGGAAATAAGCGTATCAGGAGATAATTTCTGACTATTGGGCTTGTGGCTTCCATAATATGTGTCCTATTGTACCAACATGCAAAAGTGAAATCAGTGTTGCAGTCAAGGCATTTATAAAAACATAAAGGCCATTGCCACCCCAAACAAAGTTCTAAATGGATTTTGGAAGGTTTATTCACACACAACCGTCTATACCTTCCAGAAAATGGTTATAACTCTAAGTTCCCAAGACCTTCTGCTTTTTGCACTCTGTGTTGACAGGCATTTGTTTCCGTCAGACCTGCTTCTCTCCCCATACAAGTCAAGTGGAACACAAGAGCAGCTAGAACAAGGTTGATGTAGTTAATAAGGAGGTCAACTGCAAGTCAGATGAACTGTGTCAATGAACTGTGAATGGCCTTTCAAATAGATGCGAGTGGAAAGCACACTGCATTTGCTCATCCACACAAGCCTTAAGGTGCCTAAACACCTTACAATTATCTGCAGATTTTCTGTGGTCAGATGGAAAAAGTGCAACAGATTAGCCCAGGTGGAGATTACTCCATCCACACAGTCAAGTGTAGATGGAGGAATCTGTTGCACCTTTTCCATCTGACCACAGAAAATCTGCAGATAATTGTAAGGTGTATGGCCAGCTTTACTCTGCTTACTAGGTTTTCATTCCTTAAAATGTATCTAAAGCCAAAACTTTTTAAAATATGGATGAAGTGGGTAATGTTGAAACCACTGTAAGGTACTTGCTGCTGATTTCACCATCTCCGTTTTTCCTGGTGACCTCTGTAACAGGGCTAGAAAGCAATAGAAAATCTAAAACTTTATATCTCTTAGCAACACAAGAATGGAAGGAAAATATTCCAATGAAGACAACTGTTAAGGTGACAACTGTCAAAGAGTGGATTTTTTTCTCACTGTGGAGAGATTTCCTCTACCTTCTTGTTGTGCCTCTGGGGTACAAAATGAACGGAAATCTACTGAATTAGACAGAGACAGTAAAAACTAAGAAAAAAAAACTTTTTTTCCCATCCTATCCAAAACTCAATAAAAAAGCTTTAGATTTACTTTATACCTTTTACATAGGAAGCTTTAGCTAGAATTTTCCATATACCTTGGAAAAAAAGGAATGCACTGATCTATATCGGCCGCAAATGGCACTTTTGGCAAAATGTGCTTTCTCTCCTCACAGCTGGGCATTACTCTGTGTCCCAGCAAGGAGGAGAGAATCTGTCACAGGAAACTGAGCTCTGCGGGAGGAGAGTGCTGTGAGTTGCCGGCGTCTCTCGTCCCACACTGCTCAGCCTCCTGTCACAGATCGGGAGAGCGGTGTGGGGCCGGAGACAGCCATTGTGGTCACAGGAGGCTAAGCTCTCCTCCCGCACCACCCCGCTCAGCCTCCTGTGACAGCTGTCAGGAAGGAGAGCAGGGTGATCGCTGAGTGTTTGTAAATAATTGATGACATAGTATGTTTTCTATATCCTCAATTATGAATGAATGGGAAGTGATCTACATCACTTCCTGTTCATTCATGATTGAACATATAGTAAACATACTATATCCACATGTTATGAATGAACATGAACACTCAGCATAGAGGATTCCTGTTCATTTACAACAGGGGATGCAGAAAAAGAGATAGAGGACTATGTGTCCTTAGTCTCTTTTTCTATTTTAAAAGGGAAATATCAGAGGTATGTTTAGACTCCTAATATTTCCCCGAAGTCCCCTAACAGTAAAAAATAAAAATATTTAATAAAAATGAATGCATAAATAAAAATTATACAAAAATTAAAAAGTTTATAAAAAATAAATTAAAATAAAATATTTTTTAAAAATGTGAAAAAGTTAGAATAAAAAACATTTTCGGTTTCAGCTTGACATTTTTTTTCATTTTGGTTTCGTTTCAGTTTTACATTTTCATTTCAGTGCATATCTAGAATGCATTCATTTGTTGGCACCACACACAGTGTATGGAGCTGATATGGCACAGTGTGCCTTATTTTCCCAAGATGAAAACTGCCTTCTCAATATGTTTCTCTGTCTTTATCAATATATAGTACAATTCTAATGTAACCATTACTATGCCATAGTGTACTGGATGGTGCTTTAGTCTCTCTAAATTTTGAATAGGTAAATTCTGAAACCTTTTATGATTGTATGCATTTTATTGCTGCTTGTATCTCATTTTGGTAAGTGACTCATCATGATTAAAGTTTGTAAACCACATTTGGCATGTCTTAATATGCACCTCTAGGCTCCTGCAAATTAACAGTGCTCAAAATCTGTGGCACTCTATGATTGACTTCATATTCTGTAGTTGTCACTTTTACTCTTCCCTCCTTCCTCCCACAGCTCAGTATTGCAGCTAATGTTGCCATCTTTCCTTGGAAAAAATACCAGCGTTATTATTATATTCCTATTAATAACATTGGCAACAAGTCCCATTTTTACAAGACAGGCAGGTAAAATACTGGCCAGGTGACAACGCTAGCCGCATCACATATTGCATGGCCATTGGCTCATGCAAAGTGAAGGAGGTAAAAGGGGATAGGGTAAAGCTTCTAGATAATGTTGCTATTTACAAAATGGGGTGCCCTGAACTATTATGCTCCCACAGCACTCTAGAACATGGCTAAAACTAATATAAGTAGTGTGAGATGAACAAGCCATAATGAGCTTCCAGAAGCTATGGTAGTCTAGAGCATAATTTGCTGAAATGATAAGTATGCTGGAAATTTTCTGTTTTTCAAGAATGCACTTTTTCAAGAAATTAGTAACCCGCTCATTACATTAGCATTGTTTTGTGAAAAATATAAACATTGTTTGAATCAAAAGGGATAAGCTGCAATTGTTGAAACTGCTCAGCAGTCATTTCAAGGAAGGGAAGTTTGTGATTACCAACAGAAGATCTAACCAGGATGATATTTTTTATTAATAACCAGAATGTTTTTGCTTGTTAGAAGGATGATAAGTTTCAGTGATGAAATGCTAAAACTACAGATGTTTGCTCATTTAATTGTTCATCTAATAAATGGGCATTGGTGCAGCTACATAGCTGATTGTTCTATCACACGGTGTGCAAAGACCTAACATATAAACAAAAAAGCTATGAGGTTTCAGAAATGATCTGTTTAATAAAAAACATCACAGTGGGAGTTGCAAACATATTTTTTTTAATAATTTTCAACTTCTGCATTAAAATCTCCATGTAAAGGCAATGGAAGCTACAAAGGAAAATGTAACAAAAATTAAATAAGATATAAGAAAACCCGTGGGAATGAGATAAAGCCAAAACACAGAGATTTCAGAGAGAGACAGAGAGAAAAAAAGTTAGAACAACAAAACAAATTATAAAAATAAAATGTTAAAAATTAAAAGGGGAGAGGAGGGCGAAACATCACCCCTTGGGAAATAACATGTAGGAAGTAAATGCAGCTTTTAAGGACTTAAAATATAGCAGTGTACTGTACAAAGATAAGTTCCAAGATGCGGCCATGAGTGGAATGGGAGGGCCTCTCATGACACAAGTCTTGTGCTAATGTATGTTCCCTCCTCTGTGCCCCACACAAGGCCTAGCCAGCCTTACTTTCGCCTACCTATTTGGGCCATGAGTTGGGCATTTGCTGCAGCCTTTGCTCTCATGTTTCTAGCCTTTGCAATGTCAAACAGAATGTTCATTAGGTTGGTTGGCACATCCAATGAGAGGGTAAATTTGGTCCGCCGATTGCTCTTTGCCTTGTTTTGGTAAACATTGCCCTTCACCTGTGCTTGTGACAGGTACCTGTAACGTGCAGCTGGAAATGTTCTTTTCTCTTTCTCATCTTCTTCTTCCTCCTCTTCCTCCTTGGACAGAAGATTATCACTAGGTCCAAAATCATAACCCCTCTTACTTAGAATAGAGTTTTCTTCAAAGCTCCGTCTCTTGGCCTCTTCAAGTGCTTCCTTCAGGCAGCTGAAAATCGATTCTGCTTTGTAAAAGTTGTAGTGAAGACTGGATCGGGCCAAACACACCATTAGCAGTAGCAGGAGAAGCCTAGTTTGAGGCATACTTCCACCCTACGACTAGACACACACATGAAAACATATTATTAAAGTAAATCTATATTGAATGAATAAAAATATAACACATGTCAGAACATGCTTTATTATGCAAATACCAACTCTTTGCAGATGGTGCAATGGCTTGCCCTGCACCTTCTGTTGGTCACAAAGTCTGGTGACTATCCTCTTTGACCAGTGAGGTACTGAGGGGGGCAAGCCAAAGCTCTGCTTTCCAAGATGAACTTTGCATATGCACAAGAGAGCGAAGCACTCTAAAAGGTAATAGTTTTAATCCAGTACAGGGAGTTTTTACAATACATAAAGGTAAACACAATCAACCAATCAGGAATTCACTTTTAGCATCTTTCATTAGAAAGACGTATAAAACCCAATTAACTTTATTGCTGACATATTTCACTAAACCACAGAGAAGCCAAAACCTGCATGAGCTATACCACTTTCAAGGTGTTTCACAGTCATGGCCTTGTTTACCAAATAATTGAGCTTATAGGCGATGTTTTGTGTTAGTCCTCAAAAATCTACAATATATGGTTGGTTTCTGTGTAAGACCAATTGTAGTAAGCTACAGTACACTTATAGGGTACCCAGATAGCAAGGATAACTTGCCACAAACTTGTGCCAGGGATAACTTGTAATTCTTGTTAACTTGATGCACACATTCTTGGCAAGTTGTAGACTTGCAGAACACTCGCAGCACAAGTTCTAGTTGACACTTTTGAATTTGAAGCAAATTTGCTTAGCAGGTCTACAGCAAGAGTTCTGGAGGTCCTAGCAAGAGCTCTGTAAGCTCGCTGGTCTGGAGACTTGCAATGCAGATTTGCTGTAATTGTGCAACACAATTGTGAAGCTTGGCAAGTCTGCAATAGTTTAGCAAGTCATTTTCAAACTTGCATCTCAATTACTTGTTATCTGGGTAGGTGCTTCATGAGTGCCCAACATTTTTCATTTTTTCTTCAGCAAACATTGATTGTGATCAACTTAAAGGAGTTACAGCAATTAAGATGATTGCTGTACATTACTGTACTGAGCACATTGCCTTTCCTTTAAAAAGTAAGAACCATACTACTTCAGATCATTTTCTTTCACTGTCATGCCACAGACAAAAGCAATGACCGTGATGATGTTTTACATTTTGTAGCTGCATAGTTTATATTAGCCTTCCTCAACCCCTTTACTCCAGAAGAACCCATGGAATAAATTTCAGGTCTAAAGAAACTCCTGCCAAAAACAAATGAAGCTACAGTACATCAACATTATCAGTAAGTTATTGATAAAATAAATAATAGAATAAAGAATGTGGCCTCCCGTGTATTTGACAACCAAGTCAAATTACGATTTAACATTTCCCTCCTCTATAAACTAAAGTAATAAATAAACAAAACATAAAAATGACCAGAAAATAAATGGAGACAATTAAAATTGTAGTGTACCCTCATATCAATAAGTGTAGTGTTCTTTTGGTGATCAGAGAAGAAGACCCCCCTTACATTTACCATCAGTGAGAGAGGTATTCCCTGAGATTGGTAGTCAGTGGAAAATGGCCTCCTTACCTTTTATCATCAGTGGGAGAAGAACCCCTCTTACATTGGAGGTCAGTAGGAGGAAGAAAGCCACATTGCATTGGTGGTCATTGGGAAGAATGCCACTCTTGGACCTAAAAAGATCATTTGTGTCAGTTGCTACCTATCTAGGAATAAAGAAGAGAGTAGTCACAGGCCACTGGCTCTGCCCAGTGACCTTGGCCCTAAAACTGTGCAGGTACAAGTACATAGCCATAGTGCACTAAAATACGCACTGTTAAATGCATTCATGGCTTTTCATATGTAGAATGCCCTTGTTTTTTTTAATATATTTCCTTAACTACTACAAATCCTCACACTTCACAGCCAACTCTTCATGTCAAGCAAATAACCTGATTTTTATGCCCAGGAAATAATCAGCAGCCACAAACTGATCTATCAGTGTGAAAAAAGCCCTTGTAAGCCAAGGTGGCGAACAAGTACAAATGTGTTAAGACTTCTCCTTATTTTTTCCTTGTTACCAGTATTAGAGTATACATCCTACATTTAGGGAGCACAGGGCATCTCACTGTGAACCTGTCCTTTTTAAGGTAAAATAAACCATGTGAACTGTGAGCAGGAATCATTGCAACCCTTGTCAAACATATATATTGTACAGAAATAATGTGCAGAAGTTCCTGGGTCACTACTGTGCTCAGGGGGTCATTAAGGCTTGTGGTTTGCTGCGCATATAATGACAATATCAGATATGAAGGTATATAACAGTGTGCATATATCTGCGAACATCTGTGTTTTTTTTTTTTTTAAATAAGTAAGGAAACTTCAGCTATATGCAGTATAATAATACTAATTGTCTTTGTTTTCCATATGATTTACATTGGGTTATATTTCTCAAATGTTTTTGCTAAAATTAGAAATTAATTACATTTCAAATTTGAATTTCCAAAAGTTGATTAAGACATTTAAAATTATGTAATGATTTATATTTTTAGCAATTGTTATTTGGTTGCACAGTACAATTCATAAAGATAACACTGTAGCCTACAAATAGTTGAATCATATGAACCTTTACAGTAAACTTATTTTTTACTATTATACTCATCTGCAGGTATCTGATGTTTGGACTAGTTCATCATCATACATTGTACAAATAACATTTTAGACCTTATATCCTGCCCTACCATTGCACAGCTTAAGTTTATATATCCTTTTAGTAATAATCAGGTGTTTCCCCTTTCTGCTATTTAACACAAAGCCTAAATATTGACAAAGTGGAAGTGGGGCAATGATATGTATGTCTCTACGTGATGTCAGTTTTCTGCTGAGCACCATTAGTATTACCCATACTTGAGGTAAGCATTTCTTCTTTATTCCCATGGATTCCCTGTGGAAACACCCATAATTTGACCTATAAACTATCACAAAAAAAATAAAGTTTATCTAAAGCCAAACCCTTTTTTTGTTTGTTTTTTTTCAGTATCCTACACTGTCTGCGTGAGGAGAATCACCCTCTCTAATTGTCACTAGCACTGAAAGTAGGAGAAAATATCATTTTTAATTGTTACTGAACAAGAATAAAGGAAAAGGGTTTTTAGGAACACTAGTTGCAGTGAGAACTGCTTAAGAGAGGATTTACCTTTTGGTAGTATTTTGTTCTTATTTCCCGTTGTGTCCACAGTACAGGAAGTGAAGAAAAATCTCCCCAATGGGACAACGAGGGGAAAAGAATACTGAAATAAGTTTTTACTTTTATCTTTTCTATCCAAAACTGAAACAAAATTGTTCTTTATATACATTTTAACCTCACTGTAACACTTAACCTAGCCCTGTAAATGAGTTGTTTGTCTTAAACCTAAACCTTAATAGTAAACTTTGGCCCTTAATTGCAAAAATGAATCCCTAACTCTTAAACTAACCCTAACTGTTAACCCTTAATCTAACTCTTCAAAAGTTAACTCCCTAACCTAGCACTTCAAATGATCACCTAAACGAAATCTAACAATTCTATCCTTAAACTTAACTCTTAACCTAACTCCTAAATGAACTTGGAAAAACTCCAAGAAAAAGGAGGATAAAAAAGGAGGGGCAGAAGTCCCAGGAGAGAACTGATATGGTATAGTAGTTTATATGGTATGGTGAGATTTCATTTTGGTAGGTGATAGTGAGAAAAAAATAATACTCACAAAGGTGTGGTTGCGGGATGTCCTGTTAGGGATATCAGGCAATGAAGGTGTGTGGAGAATATACCTGTCCCTGCGCAGGAATGTCTTGTTCGTTGTCAGATCTCGGGTATGGTTGTGCTTGATGCTTGTCAGGGTGTGTGTTGGGTTCCAGGCTTGGTGTCTGAGGATTCCCGAAGTGTTTGTTGTGGCAGGTAGGAAAAAAAGTACCCCAAAAGTCAGTGATCGCTGGGGCGCCCAGAAACAAGACCATGGACATCTAAGTAGTTCTTCAATTAGTACAACTCAGAGGTCAAAAAAGCCAGCCCTCCTTTCTCCTCCTCCCACCCTTTGGACCTTGAATAGAGAAACTCCTTCCATCCAAGCACACCCCGCCCCTGGCTCCCCCGCAGACAAACCCACCCAGAAACGTTTCTTAGGTCAC